CTACTAGCAAAGGTTAATCTTATGCCAGTTACTATAAAATTACAGCTATAATTAAGTTAAAACAAATCATCATTTTCCTTTGTGTTGTCATCTTTTACGCCGTCTGATTCTTATTGATTGCGAATTTAAAATGTCAGTATGCAGAATCTTGTGCTCGTTTTTAAGGGATTTGGACCCTCCTGGGGATCCCAGGGATCAAGGCACAAGGACCGTTCATCAAAGATTGTGCGACCACAATTAAATATTTTTTTATATTTTTAAATGTAAAGCAGTCTCATTGTGCATAAAAAGTTTTTAATTGTGACCGCACAATCTTTGATGAACGGTCTTTGTGCCTTGATCCCCGAGATCCCCAATGAGGGGATCCGAAGAGGATCCAAATCCTTTTTTAAGTAGCAAGGGATTGGTGAATGAGGATTTGAATCTATGTGTTAGTGTGTTTGTATATATTTGCAGGGATTGGTGAATGAGATTTGGATTTAGTGACTATCTCTCATTTTTACGTTTTCAGTGATGAAATTTGGATGTGGTATGATTTTGGTTGCGGATTTGTTACTTTTGTGCTACAAAGTGTTGGTCGAATTGATCATCCGGTCGTTTTCTTTAGACCCATTCCAACACCCAAATTTTCCCTTCCCCCCCCCCCCAAAAAAATCCAATCCAACCCAAAACCTAAACTAAACCTGAAACCTAAAAGGAAGCCAAATACCGACTACAATTTAGCCCACAAATTGAAGTGGGACCCACGGGTGACAGTGAAAAGTGGGCTGTGAAGCCCACACCCCAAAACCCAGACACCCAAACACACGTCACACGCCACAGCCCTTTCCAGCCAAATTCCACCCATGTGGGATTGTCTCCCTTGCGTGTCAGCCTCACTGTAGCTCAATGGCTACTTTTCTTCATCCAACAACCAATTTAATTGGATCGTTGGTTAATCCAACGGTCCACATTCAATTTTTTTTTTTAGTTTATATTTATATATTTATTAAATCTAACGACTTAAATCGAATATAATCAAATCTAAAGGTAAAAAAAAGATCTAATGGTCCAAATTTAAATCCAACGGCTAAAATAATTTTAAAAAAAATTATTTAACTCAAAATTCACCCCAAAACTCTATAAATACCTATGTATTTGTTCAAACATCCACACAAAACTCACTTTTCTCCTATAATTCTTCCAATTTTTCTTTCTACCATTTCTTCTTATTTCCAAATTCTTCAAGATGGCAAAAGAGCATGTTAGAGGTTGTAATTGGACTTTTGACGAAGATATTGCTTTATGTTTGACATGGATTTATGTTAGTGAAGATGGTGCCGTCGGCACGAATCAAAATAGAAAGGTTTTGTGGGGTAAAATCATTGATAAGTTCCATGAAAACTTCAACGCCGGTGGAAGGGAAGCTGGTGGTGTTTATGATTATTGGAAGATTATCAACAAAGCGTGCACTTTGTGGAAGGGAAGTTTAGAGAGAGCCATGGTTGACATGCCTGGTGGAAGGGGTGCCTCAGAAATTGTGAGTTTCTTTGTTGATATTTTATTTCTCATGTACATAATAGTATTTTGCAACTAATTGTTTTTATGTATTTGTTGCATAGGGTGACAAAGTAATGGCAATTTATAAGACAAGAACTACACCAAAAAAATCAAGCTTTTAAGTTGCATCATGCTTGGAACATCCTCAAGGATTGTCCAAGGTAGGGAACTGATGCAGACCAACAATGTGGAAGATTATTTCATAGTGAAGCCCCACCCCCAAATGATGTCAATAAAGGTGTGAATTTTGCCGACAATGAAGGTGTCGAACAAATGACCCCAACTTCTTCTTTTGCAAAGCCCCCGGGTAGAGATAAGCAAAAGGAAGCAAAGAGAAAAGGGAAGTCCTAAGATCCAATAAGTGCACAAATTGCTACAGGATTTGCAAGAATGAACGAAAACCATTTCTCTCGGCAAGAAGAATCAGCCCAAAATCTTTTGGCCATGAAGGAAGAAGGGGATAGGGAGCAAGAAATGTTCAAAATTAATTTGATGATGGAGGACCTCGACAAATACACTCCAGAGAGGAAGAAGTGCTTACATGGTAAGCAAAATGACATTTTACGAAGGAATGCCACAAGGAGTATATTTCAAGATAATGATTCATCTCAAAACTATCACCCAAGTCAAGATGGTGGATATCATTATTAAGTTTATGTAGTTTATGAGTTTTCGATTGTATTAAGTTTATGTGGTTTATTAATTGTCATTTGTATTAAGTTTATGTGGTTTATTAAATGTCGTTTATGTGGTTTATCATGATTTTCATGTATTGATTTAGTGATTTTTCAAAGTCTATCGGAATTTAAATATTTTTAGGTTAAAATGTTCATAAAATTAATTTAGGATAGTCTACATAATTTTTTTTTAAAGTTAATTTAAAAAAAAAACCTAAAATCATTCTTTAATAATCTGGCGCTAAAATTTTAGGTCAAAATGGTTGAAGTAGAACTATTGTTTTTGGGCTAAAACCTAAATTTTCTAGGCTAAATATTTTTAGGTTTTAGGTCAGAGTTGGAGATGGTCTTAGTGGTGTTGCCTCAATGGTTACTAGCAAGACTTTCGTGGCGACTATGATGGCAGACTCTGCTTTCTGCAGTTGGAGATTAGGGATTAGAGTTTTTGTTTTTGTTTTTGTTTATTTAATTAGGCTAGGCTTTTTGTGTATTTTTCTCCCCCAACATATTTTGGGTTATTTTGCCTTCCTTTGGATTGGGCTGTAATTGGTTTTACTTAATGAATGTTACTTTTCAACAACAAAAAAAGTTTATTTTTTATAAATAAATAGTTTGAAATTTAATTACAGCTTGCTCAGTGGATGGTGTTATTGCATAAATAGTTCACATTTTGTGCCTATATCACGTAAATTTCTTGGTAACATTGTAAATTTTCTTCACGGTATATATCAATGAGTGGTTAGAAAATCAAACGGTTCAATCTTGCATAAAATTCAAATTATTGAGTGAGACGTACTATTATAGCAGATCCGTAACTTATATATACTTTTATAAGTTTTTTTATAATTTTTTTTTTTAGTAAGTTAAAGAGCATACTTGCTTTTGTTCTAATTCTACAAGTCCTAATATTGATTTTTTATTTGAAAAATAATGAATGATAATATAAAATGTAGTGGATTTTGTGAGTAGCTGGTAGCTTCATATGTAGGGAGGGTACAAAAGCACTCAAGAAATTCGCAGCGTTCTTCTTCGGTCGAAATCCAATTCAGACTTGTCAATGTACTTGCGGTCCTTTGCCTCCAAAGATCATGATAACCTTTGATAGGTGGCGATTACTCGACAGAACACAACACCACTGACACGGAGCGTTGTGTCCTTCGGATTCTACTTCCATTTTTGCCTGACATACATTGACATTTGACAACGAGCTCGTCCCTCCTTCTCCCTTTCTTAAAAGGCCTTTTGGGAACTTTGTCAAACTGCAAATACATTACAACATTGAGGCTTGAATCCTATGACAATTAAATTTAAGGAAAACTAATGAAAAATGTTTGAAAACTTTGAGTTTTAATGATAAGGACAAAATAAAAGGTAAAGTGAATAGTAGCAGGTTTGACTTTTTAGTGTAAAAATGTGATTTTTCGTTAAAATGAGCAATACCGTAGGTTTTTCGTTAAAACTCTCTTAAATTTATAAGGTTATTGTTTTATGTTTTGGGGTTCAAGAAAATTAGTGAGTATGAGGTCATAGATTGGAAATGCATGTGACAATAATGAGAGGCCCTAGTATTTTTTGGCTATAACATATTTTGTGAAGCATAACTCGTAAATGAGAAAGAATATGAAAAAAAAAAAAAAAACAACACAACAACGCTGAGTAAAAACTGATATAATTGTAAATTTCAAGTTTTGGCTTGATTCACATTCTTCAAGTGAATTGTTGTTGCAAGTAGAAAAATTTACGGTTCAAAAGTTCTCATATATTGTAGTGTAACTTATGCACCAAAATTTTTAGCCATTAAATTTTGATGTTTTAATTCTAGACTGAGAATCTAATGGCCAGCAGTATGGGTCAATAAAATACACATGGCTCCCATGTTTGCAGTTAGACATACAAAGTTTTCGAAATCTGTAGTGTCCCAATTACTGTTCTAAAAATTCCCGTCAAACGATACTTAGGTGCTAGGTGGTTAGCTACCACCCCAATCAATTCGTAAGCATTTAAAAATTAAGAAAATGTGCATGGACCTACCTTGGCGTTGACCTAGACACTCACCTAGGTAGCGACTCTCATTTAAACAGAAAATAAATAATTTTCGTTTTGCATTTTATGTTTTATTAAATTATAAAGATCTATTGAATACTTTGATGAACACTTATTATATAAGTGTTCTCTATATTTTTAATATGTTCTGACACTTTATAATTTATATGTCACTCTATTTTGCAATTTATGTATCCAATACAATTATGTATTCTTTATAATTAAAACTAAAAAACCGCCCAGTCCCACATAGACACCTAGGTTCTAGAATTCTTAGTGCTACTCGATCTTGTAGCTTTTAGATTTGGACCTGGCTTCTCTGCCACACTCTCATTCCTTCCTATTTTATGCGATCACAGTTAAGTCACGTCAACATTTTATATTGATTTTTTATAGAGATAATAATATAAAAAATAATAATAATATAAAATGTTGACGTGACTTAACTGTGACAGTACAAATAGAAAGGGATAAGAGTGTATGGAAAGTGGGAGGGCAGAGAAGCCAGATCCTTTAGATTTTCCTCCTAATATAAAACTTGGTTCCATTTTCCTAGTTTCCTACAAATGAAACGAAGAATAGGAAAGCTCAATCCGGTTACAACAAAACTAAAACCCCATTCAAATTAGACAAAAATCCTTCTCCGTACGAATTCCACAAAAACTATCAAATTAATTATTACTTAAAATAAACGGAGAGTCAGTTTCCAAAAAAATAAATAAATAAACGGAGAGTCTACACGGATTACGGAGGGAAAGAGTCAGAAGACTCAGAAATCTCTGCAATATTAGTACTCAGTGCCCCTCACCTGCAGTATTAGTACTCAGTGCCCCTCACTCCTCGTCTTCCTTAATTAAATTTTAATTTAATTAGCTTTAGTTTAATCTGCAGACAAATGTAAACCCGCCCACTCCGCCACGCTCCCAGACGCAACAAAAGCTTAAAAATCCAAAGCAACACAAAAAAGCAGAGAAATATTTGCAGCAATGGGGGACACTTACGAATGCGATCATTATTACAAAAACGCCACTTGTTCTTCTTCTCCTCCAGCTGCTCCGCCGCATTCGGCCGCCGACGACATGTCGCTTTTTCTGCAGCAGATTTTGGTGCGCTCGTCTACTTCTTTGGCTTCCGGGAAGGCCCCGCAGTCTTTATTTTCGTCCTCGCCGTCCGTTGGTGCTCTTCTGCCTGGTAATCTCGACCGTCCGTGCCACTCTGGTTTCTTAGGTGACGGCATCCCGGCCGTTGATTCTTTTGCCGCGTTTGTGTCCGGTCATCCCAACGAGGCGAGTGAGAACGAGGCCGACGAGGATGACTGTGAAAGCGAGGTACTTTGTTCTTCTAAGAATTGGAATTTTAGAAAGTTCCATTTTTTTTTTTTAACAAAATTCTTAGTTAAGGTGCGTTTGGTTGCTGAGAAAATGTAGGGAAGGTGCAAGAAAATTGTAGTCTTTACTTGGTTAGTTGAGGTTTTGATCCGTTAAAGTTCATATTTTTTTTCTTCATGGTCCGTTTGGTTAGTGAGAAAATGAAAGAAAAGAAAACATACTTGTTTTGACTGAATCAGTGAGCTGTAAGTTAGAGGCTGTAACTAAGAAGTTAGAAAATAAATAAAATTTTCCCATTTTTGTCTTTTGTTAATGTGAATCTTTCAAGTTGAATAGGAGGGTCTTGAAGCGTTTGTGGAAGCAAGGCCAGGTGGCGGTCGGAGTTCTTCAAAGAGAAGCAGAGCTGCAGAAGTTCATAATTTGTCTGAAAAGGTTGGCCTATAATCTGAAAGCTTCTTAGTAGAATTATGTGATTTGAAAATTTCTGAATTTGGTTTTGCTTTTTCGTGACAAAATCGCGTTGTTCTGATGGTTTTCTGATGTAATCGGTTTGTTGGGCAGAGGAGGAGGAGTAGGATCAATGAGAAAATGAAGGCATTGCAAAATCTTATCCCAAATTCTAACAAGGTAAGCCAGACACACCAACATGCCTTGATTTTTGATCTGTAGTGTATGATTCGTTTTTATTAGTGAGTTGACGGTTCATCTTGTTAATGTGGGCAGACGGACAAGGCTTCAATGCTTGATGAAGCCATTGAGTACCTCAAGCAGCTTCAGCTTCAAGTTCAGGTATTAGCTTTTGTTTTTTCATCTTAGTTTGCGATGAAGCTTCAAGTACTCTTCATAATTCGTTGTCTCGGGTCTCATGTTAATTCTAGTACCCCTTATGTTGAGTGCATTCCCCATTCAATGAAATGTCAAGGTAAGACCTTTGTTGCTGGTTTTATCATGAAATTGAGAAACAGATAGGAAAACACGAATATGATTTGCGTGGTTCGACCATGTGAATGCGCCTAGGGGGATAAATAGGATCCGATAACAGAGCAAGGAGCCAAAGAGAGTCAGGTTGTCACACAATTTCTTGCTGCTCTGCCTTTCAACCTCTTCGAGAAAGCAATTGGTAGATGCGATTCAATGAGGTAGTCAGACTAAAATTAAAGTTTTTAGATGATGCTCTCACTCTCACACGATAAGTCTGTGCTCAGATAACATTTAAGGTCTTTTATTCTTGTATGGTTAGCTTTTGTCAGCCGTGAACCAGATGAGGAGCCCTAATGTTGCATGAAATTGGTCAGCTTTTAGCTTAGCAACATTGACTGCTGTCTGTAGACTCTTCGAAAAATCTTATGTTCTGGTTGAAACTTGCCTATGAAATGCCAGCTGCACTGATGATCGTAGAAATAAAAATCGAGGATTTGGTTTTGATTGATTTACTTTGTGATTTGTATATCAGATGTTATCAATGAGGAATGGCATGAGTCTACATCCTTTGTACCTACCTGGAACTCTGCAACCCGTACAGCTCTCCCAGATGAGAATGGAGCTTGGTGAGGAAAATAGGCCTCTGCATTTGGACATGACAGGCACACTGCATATGAACCTGGAATCCTCAACACAAAATTTGTTCAATTTATCCAACCAGTGCACTGCTGCAAATGAGTCATACGTACCAGACATGTCAAATGTAGTTAATTCAGAAACGTCGTTTGTGTTAGAACCGTCAATTCAGTCTCACTTGGGACCCTTTCAACTGCCAGCCTCATCTCAGGTAAAATTATCGCCCTGTGAACAATGCATACGGAACTAGCAAAGATATTTAACCTTTTTACATTATTTCCATACGAAGGAAATCTGCAGGGACGACCTTTTGCAGCACCAAAAAATTGATGTAAATCATTCGGAGATGAATCTTTCAGGTGGGTCGATGATCCTACAGTTGTCCTTTCAAATAATTCTTAACAGTATGTGTACAGGATCCTAGTGTTGATCTAACATGTATTTCACTATTTTGTTTGTTGGAAAATTTTGAATTGGTAGTCACAGCTACTGTTTCACTTCCCTTTGCACAAGTATCAGATCCGAAGAGCACTTTTGATACATGCATCATAGGAAGGGACAGACAGGAAGTTGGGCTCCTAAGGTCTATAGAACAAAACTTTCACATTGATAGGTAAGTACATTTGATCAATACGATGTTTTATCCTTTCCTCGCATGGTTGCCTACGTTCGCTGTGTAATTTGCATTTAGTATGCGCACAGGAAAAAGGGTCTCGAACGATACCATCAAGACTGAAAGAAGGCACAAATGATGCATGTTAAGCCCGGCTACTCTAGCACATTTTGGATTTGGTGTAGCTACTTGTAACAGCTTTTATAATTCTCCAAACTTTCCTACACCCTCAGTTGCGCACTCGAGTTTTACATATACCTCATAGCAGACCTGCAATTCGTAAGAGTTTTCTCTTCAATGCTTTTGGCAAGGCTTTTCGTAACTGGTAGAAATAGTAAGGTTGGGGGATGAGACACATGTAAACTCCATCTATCCCTTTTTTCTATGGTTTTTTTTATTTGGAATTAAGCTCCTCGTCACGTTATAAATCATCTGTCATGTCTGTGAGAACACACGCCCGCTGTTCGTTATGTATAAACTATATGAAAATCTTGTTCATAACATCAAGCTTTGTATTGTATTGTTTCATTGCTCTGGTATTACTTTATCATTCTGGTTTAGCTTCTTCGAAGCTGCATATAGATTGTGTAATACTTGATTTCTGCAGATGTCTCGGGATCTTCGAGCTTTCGTAAAACGTATTGATCACTGAAACTTAAAAGGTTGAGCTTGAAATGTGCAATGCTTTCCATATTTTTTTTGTTTTCTTTCGTGGTCTGTTCATCGAACAAATGGTTGGGATTGGGATAAACGTTGAAAAAGAAAAGTGGAATTTCCAACAGTTGAAATTTGACTTGGATATCTCCACAGGTGACTTAGAAATTCATACAACTCAGAGGGTCAAGAAAGTTTTAAGAGATAAGTTTCGGGTACAATACGTTAACAAGACTCAAAGTCAACACGAACGACTAAACTGTCCACATAATATTAGACTAACAAATTGATGATGGCTTTTGTCCTTTTTTTATGATGCGTAAGTTATCGTGTCATCATGTTGTTTTTTTGTACCAACTTGCATGTTATAGATGAAGAATTCACACAAACATGACAAAGATATAAATAGATAACACTACAGATTGATACGTTTTATACGCTGATTCAGTATTGTGTTTGTCTTCAACTTTGAAGGAAAGTTCAACGCAAAAAGGGAAGTCAAAGCGTATTACATTCACCGAATTCATCTACTTTTTCTTTCTCTTTATTTTTTCTGGTCTAAAGATTCAACAATACTGGACTGGGGGAATTATTCCCTAGAGTTGGAAAAGAAAAAGGAAGAAAGAAAACTATTTGAGGGTTGTGAACTTGTGAACTAGGTTCTTATCTTGACTTGTTCATTTGGAGCACATTCATTGAACCAACCAATCTATTATATTATATGGGTAAATTATATTTTAAGACTTCAATTTTGGATCACAACATTATTTTTTAACAATGTAAATTCATGAATTAATCCGTCAGATAATGATGTGCCAATTATAAAAATAAAATAGAGCAAATTTTGGGTTTTTTTTTTTTAAAAGACGACTTTAAGTTCAGGTTTAAAATGAAATTAAAATCAAATTCCATGAGTAGGTATAAATAAACCTTGTTTAAAAACAAAATGGACTTGGATGTTTTGACACATGACAAACATATAAAGGCATGAATTACAACAGAAAACAAATGTAAAAAATAAATATAGAAAATAAACCGGAATATATTCAAATATATATGGTTGGTAGACGAAGCTGCCTGCGTAACACCATCAGCGACACGTCAGCAGCACACCCCTTCTCTCTCTCCTTCGCTTGGATGATAGTACGAGAAAGCTCCCTCTGCTTTCTTCTTCCTCGTTTCTGACGCTCTCTCTCCTCTCTTTCTCTCTCTACCCTTTCGGTCATCGTAACTATTTTTCTCTCTCTCTCTCTTTCTATATATATACACAAACACACACATATCTACCAGACGCAGAAGAAGCAAAAGAAAACTAAGCAATACAAAAATGGCGGCGAAATCGAACGGCCCGATTGATACGGGGAGGGTCATTCCGGGCCCCACCAATCCAATGGTCACGCCCCTGCTCACGGATCTCTACCAGTTCACCATGGCCTACGCTTACTGGAAAGCCGGCAAGCACAACGAACGAGCCGTGTCAGTCTTCTCTCTCTGCTTTCTCACTGCGTTTGTTTCCCGGGAAAATTCTACACTTTCCCGGCAACCAAACAGAAGCTTTACATTCTATGGTTGCATAATAATCGAAATATGTTTGTATATGAATTTGTTACAGGTTTGATTTGTATTTCCGGAAGAACCCCTTCGGCGGCGAATACACAATCTTTGCCGGTTTGGAAGAATGCATCAGATTCATTGCCAATTTCAAATTGACTGAGGATGAAATTGCTTTCGTCCGCGAATCGTTGTCTTCTTCGTGCGAGGTAAATCAATTCTGAAACTTTCATTATAAATTTTACTGCTTTCTGTAGTTTCAAATTGTGATTTTGCATGTGTATCGAAAGCTCGAATAATCAAATTGCAATGGTGAACTGTAGGATGGATTCTATGACTATCTTAGAGGAGTTGATTGTTTGGGAGTTGAAGTGTATGCCATTGCTGAGGGTACAGTTGTTTTTCCAAAGGTTCCCCTGATTCGAGTCGAAGGGCCAATTGCGGTGAGAACCGTTAGTCTACTTTTGTTTTCGGGTTTTTGCAACTCTTGTGGTTAGTTGTTGTTGTTGTTGTTTGTCAATCTAGTTGTTATGCTGTGTGTTTTGATTTACAATTTTATTGTTGCAGGTGGTTCAATTGCTCGAAACTCCCTTTTTGAATCTTGTTAATTATGCATCTTTAGTTGCTACGAATGCTGCAAGGCATCGTTTTGTTGCTGGAGAATCGAAGAATCTGCTTGAGTTTGGGCTTCGACGGGCTCAGGTATCTGGAACATGCTTGGGCTGTGACAAGCTCAGGGTTTTCACTTTTTGAGTTCTCTTTTCTGAAGTTCTGAGGTCGGTCGTAACAAAGAAGTCTTTGTTTTGATGTTTAGGGACCTGATGGGGGCATAGCGGCATCAAGGTACTGCTACCTGGGAGGATTTCATGCAACAAGGTAATGCTTTTGGATGATGTTTTTCCTTTTTCTAAAGCATATTACTTCTCTTTATAAATCATATAATCATATTCACACATTTCTGATATTGGAAAATGATGAATTTCATTTTACCTTAAAATTAGCGGCCCTTTTGTTGTTGTCAGTAAAAACCTGGAATAACTTATCTTTATTTCTATGTTATATTTGACAGTAATGTTGCAGCTGGGAAGTTATTCGGGATACCACTTCGTGGAACCCATTCTCATGCTTTTGTCAGCTCATTTGTGGTAGGTAACTCTTGCATTCTTATTGGGAATTCAGAAAGAACAACTTCAAATGCATATAGACTTGGGATCTATATTGCATAACATAATAGGTTACAAAGAAACATTGTAGTTCATATCTACATTTATATCATCAGTGGTAACTAGAAACGAGTAAGTCTGTTTTAACTATTAAAATACCATTGTATTTATATTATAAGGTAGGTTTATCAATGTTTGAGATGCATTTCTTGTATTAGTTGAGCGCTAAAGCTATGTAGTTTCTTCATTAAATCTGAGATAAAACTTCACGACTTTAATGTTATTGTTTTCATCTGATAAGGAAATTACAAACATGATATATCATGAATCCTTAGTAGACTACTCAATTGTGTTTAGTGTCTAGTTCTTGTTCCATGACATTGGAACACTAAATGCTATGAGCATTATGTTGTGGTCATCATGATTTTTATGCCTTTGCATGTGAAGCTACTGTTTTTCTAATTTATCAAACCATTTGCAGAGCCCTGACGAGATTATTGATAAAACACTTCGTAGTAGTGATGGCCAGAGTACTTGTGAGGATTTTGTTAGCCTGGTTCAGACTTGGTTAAGCAAGATTAAGGTGTATGATTTTGTTCTTCACTTTAAAATTCATATGCTTTTCTTTATTTCCACGTTTCTCAATATGTGTTTTTTGCATTCTACTCCTGTTCTAATTTATTCACGAGATTTTGCATATTCATATACACGTCCGCCTTCTTCAGCTGTTTTACACATTTAATCTCAAATTTTTGTTTTGCTATCATAATAGGATCTAAGATCCGATCACTCAGTCCTTGACATCACTAACTCGTGTGTGCTTTGCAGTGGTCAAAATCATTAAATGGCACTTTTGGCGAGACCAATCAAAGTGAACTAGCAGCATTCACATCATATGCATTGGCATTCCCTAGTAACTTTCTAGCTCTTGTAGACACATATGATGTAAGTAAACATTATTCTTCGTAATGTTTAATGATGTGGTTTTGGCCCACTTATACTTTATTGTCTCTTTAAATAAAGTGAATTTTAAAAACATGCCTTTCATTATTTACCAGGTTATGAGGAGTGGAATCCCTAACTATTGTGCCGTTGCTTTAGCACTCAATGATTTAGGGTATGTTCAAAAGATTTTTTATGCAGCATTTTTAACCGTTCAATAGTGTAATGTTATCCATTTGATGATTTTTGTATTGTGCAATCTGGAGTGGAATTAAAAAACTACGTATGCTCTATTGGTTTCAAATGGAAAACTATGCCAACACCAATAAGGTTGATAATGATAACTATGGTTTATAATGTAGGCTCAAAAGCAGTTTGTATGGTAACGCATTTCTTTTTTAAGGGTTAAAGCCAATATTAGTGCTCAAGCATTTAGGTTGTAGGCATTGACCTCTTAATTTTGAAGCCTACTTTTGGGGGGTGTTTTGGTTGCTTTATTGAGTAAAAGGTTCCCTTTTAGAAGTGAGCAAAAGACCATAGGCCGGTTTAAACCATTGGTGCAGGCTTATGTTGATGTTACTTCATAAAAAAATTTGCTGTTTTGAAGGTTACTTTTTAAATAAAACATTGCACACTGAAAAATCTCTTCCAGAAAGCTGACTCCACTCTAGGAACTATTACATTAACCTTGTCTTTCCAATTTTTTATTACCTGTGTGACATCCATATTAATTTATGCAATGTGCATGCAACTTGACGACCCTTGACTTAGTTAGTTTGGTATCTTTAGGCAATGAACCAAGTATTATTGTAGCTCTCATTGATGAGTTAGATGATGGTATGTCCAGGTACAAAGCAAGCGGAATTAGGTTGGATTCAGGTGACCTAGCATATTTGTCTTGCGAGGCTCGGAAGATTTTCCGCATCATTGAGAAAGAATTTGGAGTACCTGAGTTTGGAAAGACCAATATTACAGCTAGTAATGATCTGAACGAGGAAACATTGGATGCTTTAAACAAACAGGTAATGATCTGAACTTATGGGGCTTTAATAAAGTATGTTATGGCTTAAGAACTGTACAAAGTTATTTGATTGCTGTTTTTTTATAGTGTTGATATGGCAACCTTCAAGTTGTTTATCATTTAATCTAGGGATTTATTACCACACGACTAAATAACATTCAGTTGAACTCTAATCTCTCAACTAATTTGCTGTTTCT